CACACACACACAGAGACAGAGACAAACACACACAACATCGGGAAACTTAGCACAACGTTCACAATGACTAACACAGAGAAACATTTCCCACATTACAGCAGCACACACCTGAGCCGCGTGAGCCTCTAACTGGTGTTTCTCTTCCAGGAGGAGCTGAACCTGCTGCCCATCAGACGGAGGACCCGACTGACTGGAGAACTGCAGGAGTGATTTGAAAAGACATTTCACGTCACAGGAACTACAGCGAGTGCACAGTAAATGTGTAAAGCGTCTCCTCACCTGCTGCAGCATGACGTCGGCCATCTCCAGCCGCTTACGGAGCTCATCAACCTCCTGCTTCAAGCCGTTGTTCTCGTTTACTCTCAGCTTGAGCTGCTCGGACAGCTCTGAGCTCTGCTGTCTGGACTCCTCGCTCACATTACTGACAGACACAGAGACCATATTCATGCAGCACACACTCACATCGCATCTGCTGCTAAAGGAGGAGTAAAAAACAACTCAACTGTCTTACCTAAACCGGAAGACTTCCAATCGTAGACTGTCCCGCTCCTTCTCAAGCTCTTTATTATGCTGCAGAAAAAAAGCAAACGAGGATTTCTGAGCTTGAACGGAGTCGTTCTGTCAAACGCAGCTGATGATGAAGACAAACCGAGGATCTGGTACCTTCTCAAACTGCTTCTGTTGTGTAGAGACTGTAGATAGCGTCCTCTCTAGCTCAGACACTCGCTGTTTACTGGCCTGCAGCCGCGAGCTCTCACAAACTCACACTCTCTCACACACACACACACACTCTCTCACACACACTCACTCTCTCACACACACACTCTCTCTCTCACTCTCTCACAGTCTCTCTCACACTCTCTCACACTCTCTCTCACACACTCTCTCTCACTCTCACACACTCTCACACACTCTCACACACACACTCTCACACTGAGTTCTGCTGTCGATAAAACAATCTTATTTCTTTCTAATTAAATGTATTTATTAATACATTTTTCCTTAAAAGACCAACTGAGTTCACTACCTTTTGGAAAATCCGATTTAAAAGTAAATCTCAGAAAATTAAAATTAATATAGTTTTTATAGATAGAACTCAGATTCGGGCCACATCTAATGTGATTTAAAACCAGTCAATGTGAACCATGCAAATAATGGTAAGTCACACACACACACCTGTCTTGTGTCGCGCTGCCTGCTGTGTGTAAGACAGAGCCGTCTGTAGCTCTGATTTCTCAGACACCAGGATGCCGATGGTCTGAATGTGAACCTGAATGTGGACAACATGCATCATTAAACACATGAAACCTTACGTTTGCATAACAGCACTGACATCAAGTTAACGTAAACTAAATTACATTCAACAGTAAATGAGTTCTGCTGTCGATAAAACAATCTTATTTCTTTCTAATTAAATGTATTTATTAATACATTTTTCCTTAAAAGACCAACTGAGTTCACTACCTTTTGGAAAATCCGATTTAAAAGCAAATCTCAGAAAATTAAAATTAATATAGTTTTTATAGATAGAACTCAGATTCAGGCCACATCTAATGTGATTTAAAACCAGTCAATGTGAACCATGCATATAATGGTAATTATTCCTTATTCTGAATTTTTCCTCCTCCAGACTGAGATTGAGATTTCACACATCTGCATTCAGATGTTTATTCACTTCAGCGCGTTATTTCTAGAGATGAGAGTCTGTCTCTATGTTTATCTAGCCTGTTCTGAGTCAATCCTTTTGTTTTGATTTCAGTTTCAGAGAACAAATGACTACGGTACAACATTTGAAGTATTGTTGGTTACCATATTATCAACAAGTTCCTGAGAAGTCAGATTCGTTTGAAGTGAGTGAATTTGCTCAGTCAGTTTGTTCTATAATATATAAGACCTGTTCATGAACATGACTTCAGTCCCGTGTAATCTGTTCACCTGTAGCTGTTCACGTATCGCTCCCTGCTCCTTAGTGAACTTCTGCTCAAACTCTTTCCGCTCCTGATGAGAAGAGATTACACACAATAAGAGAAGTCGCTCATTAATAAACCATAAATGAGCCACATAATAACACTGCTGGCAGCTTACTGTACCTTCTGTAGTTGATCAGAAAGCTCCTGAGACTGCTTCGTCTGAAAACAACGAGCAAATCATGCGTGTTTATTAAAAAATAAATCCGTAAACCAGCACGTTAAACAGGGACCTGACAGTTAATACAGGTTATTGCTTAATTAAGCCGATATGAATTCAAAATGTACCTTATTCACTTTAAATCTCATTGTGCAAATATCTGATTTGATAAATGCTCTTTAAAACCTTCTGAGGCAACACAGAAGGGGAAAAAATATTATTGACTAATATTATTAATATTAACTACTAACATCAAATGCTAACATGTGCAATCCAATCCAAAACTTACTAAAATAATAAAACAAAAAAAAAAGTTTTATTGTGTATTAATAGTAACCATTTAACCATTTAAAGTGAAGTATATTCACAATACAGCATGACCTCTCAAATAGAGGAGTAAAGCAATGCAATTGTGTCTGAATAAATGTTAATTATATGTGTGTGTTTATTAATACTATCAGTTCACAAAAAATGCAATCTTGAATTTCTAATCAAAGAATTGCTTTAGTTCCTCTTAGGGCTGTCAAAATGACTGAAAAACTAAATTCGAATTTTCCACTTAAATATTATCAAAATTCGAATTATATTCAAATTTAAAATGCATAATTTCAGTTAGGGGGAAAAAAAGCTTTCGGCTTCTCTCCTGAGGCCTTGAGACATGTTTTTAAAAGTTGAACTTACATTAATTTTACATGGCTTTCTAAACATGCCGCTCTCTTGTGCGAGACGCGAGTGCAACGCTGATAGATGATGATGAAAATGTGATAAATATGCGTTCTGTGTGAACGGCTTGGTTTCAGTTTCGCCGTAAACAACATCTTCGCCACACAGATGCTCTTGTTTTCCGCAATATATTGAATGAACAACGTAGCAGCGCCGCATCTAGTGGCTTCAACTGGATAGGCTAACAAAAGCATTAAAATGCAATGACACTTACATTGTCGTCGCATTTCGTGCGCCACTGATAAAGCTGCCCGACGGCTGACGCAGACCTAAAATTCCAATGCAACGTTTTTGCATTCGAATGTGGATTTTTTTTTTTTTAATTCGACGAATATTCGAAATTCGAATTTTTTTTTGACAGCCCTAGTTCCTCTTTTGTAATTCACTTTGGACAAAAGCATCTGCTAAATGAATAAACGTAAAAGTTATCATCTAAACTTAGACTAAAGTACATGGACAAACAATTTAAAAACTAGAAATTGAAACAATGTTGCATGTTAAAAGTAGCAACAGTAGCAACCAATGTTGCATCTTCAAAAACTCCATTGTGTCGCACTCTGTTATTGAACATGTGTGAACTACAGCATGGGACGTTATATTTTCATGTATCACACACACACACACTGACACTCTTACCAGCGTCTCGAGTTTGGACGTGAGCTGGGCGTTCGTGAGCGCGCTGGAGTCCAGAGCCGCTGCCAGCTCCTGGTTGTGAGTCTGACGTGTCGACATGCACAGAGAAACACAGAGAGAGAGAGAGAGAGAAAGACAGAGAGAGAGAGAGAGAGAGAGAGAGACAGACAGACAGACAGACAGACAGAGAGAGAGAGAAATTTAACATTTTACTCAAAAGTGTTCCTAAAGTAGAATTAAATAGATTCTCTCTATTAAACCCATGGAATCTAAATTAAATCAAAACAATCTGAATCATCTTACCCGCAGGAGAATATTTAGTTATTTAAAACAAGATTGATATGGACCCAAAAATATGAGCACTAGTAATAATGATGATTGACTGCCACTAATAAAAAGTGCTAAAATTAGAATTAAGTTGTGAATTACTCTTCAGAAGTCTGGGGTCAGTAAGTACTTTTATTCATCAAATTGATCAAAAGTGACAGTAAAGACATTCATAACTATAATGTTACAAAAGGTTTCTATTTCAAATAAATGCTGTTCTTTTCCGAAACCGTTTTCAACATTGATAATAATCAGACATGTTTCTTGAGCAGCAAATCAGCATATTATACTGATTTCTGAAGATCATGTGACACTGAAGACTGGCGTAATGATGCTGAAAATACAGCTGCACATCACAGAAATAAATTACAGTTTAACAGATATTCACAGAGAACACAGCTGTTTTAAATTATAATAATATTTTACTATTTTATAGTATTTTTGATCAAATAAATGCAGCTTTGGTGAGACTTCTTTTTAAAAAAACATTAAAATCTTCCTGACCTCAAACCTTTGAATGATAGTGTTCGTAATGCATGACTGCTCAGGCTTCTATGCGGATGAAGCGAGTGAAATTAACTTATCAACAGAGCCTCATTCTGTTACAGACGTGTTTGTGACGCTGAAGCAGGATGTTTGTTTAGTGTGCAGCAGGAGATCATGGGAGCGTCGGATCCAATGCCAGAACTAGTCTGACAGGACACACCGCAATAACACACACACACTGACAGATACACGACCAACTACACCAATGCAGACTTAAATCACAGTAGCACAGATAACAGGGAAACAGTTTTAGATCTTTTTTAACACTTTATATTTAGCAGGAATTTGGTCTGCAAGTCCTGAGGGAATCAATCTGGGATATGATTGTGAAAATGTTATCAAGTGCCTGACGCTCTTAAATAGCCAATGCTGTAAACCCCTACAGACTACAAGCTATTTTCATCATAAGAACTCGTGCTTCAATAAAATTATCCTGCTTGAGCGAGATTAGTGACCGTTTAGAGTGGTAGACCAAACTAAATGACCTTACTGTACAGTTTTGCACGTGTTGTCATATATGTTTAATAAATAAAAGCACAGTAAAACGTATCAAAATACCTCCAGCTCCTTCTCGTTGACCGTCGGCGGACCGCTGTCTCCATTGATGTATGTTGTTGACTGCATTACAGCCAAGAAGGAAAGAAAAACAATTCATTAGAATCAAAACGAGTGAACAAGAACTCAAAGCTTTGACCAATTCATTCTGGAATGGTTAAAATGCTGACATCTGGGTTATTTACGCGTGCTAGATATGAATAAAACTGCTTGTATTGCGAGAAAATGTGTTTATACTTCTATTTTTGAAGTTCACTCAAGCCATGCAAAAGTTCAAAAGAATTTGGTTTATTTGGGAGGTTCTTAAAAGTCTTTAATTTAATTTCTTTAAAAAAATGCATTTGGATTCATTTGTTTCATGGGTGCATGTCAACCTAAAGAAAAACAATGCCTGCTTTCATAACATTTCATTAAAATTGTATTAACTCTATCCACTTCCGAAATGACTTTTCTACTGATGTAATCAAGCAGGGTGGAAAAAATAACATTAACCAATAACATCATAGCATCACAATCCAACCAAACCCAAAGACTGAAGCAAGCAGAAGCCGTGACTCACCTCAGACAGCAGTCCGTTGAGCTGCTGGGAAATCTGTCTCAGGCTCTCGGTGGACGACAGCGGCCTGCAAACACAAACACGTGAGGTCAGTCTATCAAAACAGACTATTTGGTTGCAGTTATGAACTAAACAAGCATAACAAACAGAGTATTTCTGTACAGTTAGTGTTAACAGAGAACCAAACAGCAAGCGATAGCATGCAAATCTGAGTTTTTGTCATTGGTTTCGGTCTATTTTTATAAAATAAACTTGAAGTATATTAAATTGTATTGCTTATAGTCAATAACATACTCAATACTTTTATACTATAAGGTCATTTTTGCTACATTAGTGTCGTTTACATTATCAAATGAGTAGTTCATTGCAAAAAAATACAGTATTTTATATGCTTTTGAATATAAAATACTAAATTACTAACTAGTAAAAACTAAAAAAAATAATAATAATAATACTAAAAACTAAAAAATAAATTGTTGAACTGCTTGAAATAAAATAAACATTAACTGAAATAAAACAAAAAAAATAATAAACTTAAAGCTTTTTAATTTCAACTAGTTGGCAAGGCTACTTTTCTCATTTTAATTTAGTTTAACTTGAAGTACTAAAATAACTCAAATTAAAATAAATAAATAAAAATTATTTTAATTTTAAATTTTGAATTTTAAAAAGAAAGTAAGAATTTTTTTGGGGGAAAAATAATACAAAAAACGTTCAAATTAAAAAGAAACTGGAAAATATAAATATAAAAACTAATTTAAAATATGAATAAAACTATAATAGTATCTCAGTGATACTAAAATAACACCGTTTGAATCAAAGTTGTTTCAGTGTGTTGTGATTCAAATCTGGTTGGTTTGATTCAAAGCTTAAAACTCTTTATGGAAGAATTTTTATCAAATGCATCTGGGAAAAAAATGGATTGAAAAATAGTTCCAGAACAAGGCAGCAGAATAACTGAGCTGTCACTGTTGCGCTCAATAAAACATCTGATGGGTTATTTTCAAATAAAGAGTAAATTCACCTGTTATCTTCCAGAGGATGTTCATCGCCGTTTGCATCTGCTGCGTACTTCTGCTGGAAAAACATACGAATGAAAAACAAACTTGAGGGCCAGACTTATGTGACAACACATGAAAACATAAAAAATGACAAACTAAATTAAAAGAAACACGTGGATCAGATTAAAAACATGAGCAAACAACAGCTGAACCGTTGACAGAGACGAACACACAACGGCTGTGTTTCAAAGCCTAGCCGAGACTTCTGAAACCCAGCTAAAGTGACTGACGCGGAGACAGACAGACCTGCATGCCAGCGTTATCAGAGTTAATAGCAGAAGCGGGGTTAGAGACGGGTTCAGCGCTGGTCTCCTCCAGCTCCTGCGAGACCCAGCTCACCGCATCCACATCATCCTGATGCAATACAGCGACAGAGACGCATTAAACTCACATATAAAACACACATATATACACCGCATTCTTCATTACACTCATATGGGACCACAAAACCAGTCATAAGGGTAAATTTTTCGAAATTGAGATGTATACTAGGGCTGCACGATATATCGAAATTATCGAAATATCGCAATGGCGTGCGATATCTGAATAATTTTAATAATAGGCTACTTAAATCAAAACGTTGCAAAAGGTCAAAGTTTTAGTTCGACGCATATAGCAGATAATTGCTTGACGTTAAAAAGAGTTATTAAGTGCAATAAGTTGCAGAAACTCTTTGCCGTCTCCTCTTGCTGTCTGACTCTCACACCTGAAGCGCGCGCACACGCCGCATCTCGCACAGCGTATCTTCAGTTCTGCCGCACAC